GCAAGATTATATTCATCAGTGTACTCTCTCCGAGACCCTACTTTTTCCGTCTCAGCGCTAATGCTGAAATGCCACGAAGAATCCATCGCGCTGTGGTAAGACGCGCGCATCATGGGGGTATAGATACAGTACAACACACAAGAAGGGAAAAAAAATGCGCAAGCTGAATGTCCATGCTGGCTCCCATTTATTCGATTTCATCGTCTGGGGCCGTCATCCTCGTGTCATGTCATCGCAAGAAGTGGTATAATATTTCAAAGTCAATCCCCCCAGTCGTCAATAAGTCGTGCCATTACCATGCGTAAGTCGTAATTAGAATGGCTTGAATGCAGTTTGGTCGCAATTTCGCTACTCGCCAGTTACATCGTGGTAGCCCCAGCGTTCAGCTGGAGACAATTATTGAGTAGATTGGCGCCTTCATGCAACAGCTCCCAGCGGGTGGTTTCGAATGAGTCTTTGAGAACGAGAAGCATAGCCGTGTTTTCGTTGATGCCCTTCATGGCCTTGAGCTCGTCTGGCGAGGACGCGCCCCCATATTTCAAAAGATATTCGCGCATTTGTCGTAACTGTTCCTGCTTGGATGTCGGGGGTGGAACATCGGGGCAGGGACCTTCCAGGGCGAATCCGTAACACCAAACAACAAGGGCAGCAAAGTATAGAACCCAAGGCCTATTGAGGAGTACGTCGTCTCGTGCAGTGTACGGCTCATCGTACTTGAAGCCGTTGGGCTGATGTGCCTGGCCGCCATCGGGTATGAGAACAGATCTGATGAACTTGAGGGCGTAAAAGGTTGCGTCGCGAGCCTTGGCGGTTGGTGCCCAAATGTCCTTCATTCTCCGTTGAGCACTATTGAGATCTTGCTGCCCAATAGCTCGCCCAAGAAGCCGCTTTGCCCTGGCAAAGATTTGACAGTCGACAATGTCAACGTGCATTGCCATATGTGCAAGATGATGCAGTACGGTACGGCTCTCGAAAACGACGTTGGCGTCATTCTTCTTCGCCGAGTCGTAGCGGTATGGGTCAGAAGAGCCTTCTGTTCTTGTGAGGGACTTGTCGAAATCTTCCTTCCAAGCATCAAAGGCCCTGGTCAGTGTTCCCCGCCATTTGTCTCTGCCGCCCAGTGCCTGAGACACGCCACCGCCAAGAACGTTGACCTGAAGGTCTCTTTGATTCATATGCCAACTAACGCTGAGAAGACCGGCCATGAGGACCATGCGACCAAATGGATTGGTCTGCACGCCTTGACCACTGAGCGTTCGTTTGAGACCCTCCAGAAAAGAGATGGGTTTCACACCGTTGGACAGTAAATTAGACTCGACTCTGCCAACTTCCGCACCACTCGTGGCTTTCCACAAGGCCTCATCGCAGGGCAGAGGCAGCCTCATTTCGTGCGTGACCATAACCGTAGAGTGGCCAAACATGGTAGCATGGATGGAGTCAATGACAAAAGCAGCAAACGCAGCTCGTCGTGTCGACTCGTTAGTGATCCAGTGATTCCACCACTCGTCTGCGGTGTGGGCCATGCCGGATGCTGAAGAATGGCGTGAGCTGTTTGTCTTGTCATCTCGAGGGTTTGGTGGCGAGTCGAGAGATGATTTGCCAATGAGAGACCTTCCACGGCGCATCAGGGTGATTGTGGTTGCGTGGTGAATGTGGGCTCGCTCGTGCAGCTCTCTGGTAGAGTACATCTTTTCGTACAGCTCGAGGAGTAGAAGTGTCTGGAACAGCCACAGCTTTGCCGGCGGCCTAAAGTTCGGGTCCATGAAAATCTCCCATCTCAGGTGCCAGGCTAGGAAGTTGGACAGCTGAGCACCCGCCTTTGTGACCTTCTGGCCGTGTGTTTTGTCGAGGCACGCCGCACCAATTGTCATCATTGCTAGAAGAAGCAGACTGGGCGTACGGTCGGGCGAGAATGTCGGCTTGTGGAGGATAGGAATCTGGTCACTGAAATGAACCCAGTACGAGCCGATGTAAGCCTGCATCATCCGCTTGCTAAGCATGTGATCGCCATCGCTGCGGTCACCCTCCAGAATGCTTTCACGTTGTCGCATCGCCGGAGCCTCATCGTTATCGTGAAACCTTTGGTTGATGAAGTCATAAATCTCTTGGCTCTTCTCCTCAGAGATTGTGGCCTCTGGAAGATTCTGGTCAAGCAGATTGTTGACAGCCATGACTTGATGAGGCCCCGAGGGAAAGTATCCCATAGGAACGCCGTCTGTTCCCACATAGGGGACGCTATAGGGGTTCTGGTACTCGCCGTAGCTGCAAAAAATGTTAGTGAAGTTCGTGGCTAAACGAAGGTCAAAACCAACTTGCTAACATACCCGGGAGCCACCATCTGGCCCATGGGCGAGCCTTCCCCTCCTTGTTGCGTGTTGAAGAGGTAGGCAACGAAATCTTCTGGGATCGTCACATATGGCGATTTACTCAAGATGCTATCGCTCCCAAAAACGGGGATCGTCCCAGGCATAGACATCTGATCAAGGAGCATCATCTCGCCTGACTGCTGGGGGTGACCCTGCTCACTGTACTCGGCCGAAGTGGTGGGTGCATATGTTTGGCCTTCACGGGGTGCATTACCCGCGCCGTTAGAGAAGTCGGAGGGCGGCAAATTGAATTGCGGAAAGTTTTGCTGAGTTGTGTACGGTGCAGACTGAGGGGTGTTGTGCGGCTGGGTGTGGTAGCCGTGTGGATTGGCGACCGGGGACATGTAAGACCCGTTGGTCTGTCCAACCGGCCTTGGGCCGCTCGGAGACTGTTGCGGGGGGCGATGCGCCTGAACGCCTCCGTAGCCATTGTCGTGATGCATGTAGCCGTCCATTCCGCCAGGGTGCACACCTATTGGGTATCCCGGCGGGGTGTTGGTTGCCTGAATGAACGGGCTACCAGATACATCTTTGGGCGACTGATACTGCATTTGGGCTTGCCGCATATTGGCGAAGCCCGTTCCCGGCCGACTAATCTCGGGCGAAGCAGACCCAGGCAGCGGGAAAGGTGGGCGATCCGTGGTAGGGGAGATATGGCTCATCATCGAGTCCTTTCGGTTCAGGGCGGACCCCTTGGCTGTGTGACGGTCTCTATGGCGGTTACACAAATCAAGCCGAACAAAAGTGCGACTACAATCAGGAAAGTCACAAGCATAAATCTGCTTGGGCGTGTGGTTGAGCTGGTGACGGTATCTGAAGAGTTGTTAGTTTTGTGGGACATGGACTGTACACGGCACCACCTACAAGTGCTCGGCTCTAGAGTAGCTCTTTCCACAGCCCTCCTGAGGACATTCAAACTTTTTGTCCAAGCCTTTGCGACTCCTCCGTCTTTTTCTAGCAGGGCCACCGTCCGAGTTGGAGGAGCCGGCTTTTCCTTCGTCTCCATCATCGTCCATGATGTCGGCATCCTTGTCTTCAGAGACCTCCCGCAGTCTTCCCCTACCGCTTTCGTGTTCCTGCTTGATGAAATGCTGCGGACTCGTCCGCGGCTCGTGATTTGTCGCCATTGTCGCAGGCCCAGCAGAGGGCAGCGTGGTTGAGGATTTGAAGCTAGCTGGATGTGCGGGTAAAACAGAAGTCATGGTTTTTCAGACGGCAGCTTCGTGAGATAGGCGTCGGAAAATCCGAGGTTGTTGGCGGCGCGGGTCCTGTTACGATGTAACGGACCAAGACTTAGAGACACCAGCTTCGTTGCGCTCAAAGTTTATTGTCGCAACGGTGGTACTTGAGATGTTGTTTCGCGAAGCCTACGGGGGGCGGTAGAAACTCTTCGTTGTCAAGTGGCGCGACTTTGTCGGTCCAGTTGGATCAGTGGTGCTGGACGTCTCGTGTTCTTCAGTATTCGTACTATACAAGCTGCGTGCGCAAAATCGCACTCGAGTTTTCTAGGTTGGCCTCTCCAAAGCCAATTGGAGAGGATTTTCAAAACATGACGGGGAGGAAGTAACACCGGCCAGTAGAGGTAACGGTAGCGGCAACAGCGTGGCAAGAAGGTAGAGTGCGATGCGTGAGGGAAAAGTCGCGGTTGAGAGCGCAGTCCTCGAGGACAGTGAGATGCTCCTTCAGTTGAGGTACCGAGACCCTTGAGGCGAGATCAGGCAAGGCAAGGTAAGGTAAGCAGCTGGGAATGGTTAGCAGGTGGATGTCGGTGGAGATGGTAGTATTAATGACGGGTCTGCCGCCTGTTGCGGTAAAATGGACGAGCGCTGGACTGCATGACAGAGCGAAAGAGAGGGGAGGGGGTGGGTGTCAAAAAAACAAAATAAGAGACGGCAAGGTTGGAGGTTGCGGATGGGAGTGGACCGGGGCCGAAGGGCTGTGGAGATGTGGACTAAAAAGGGCGATAGAGATGGACCATAGCGTTGCGACCTAGGGGGTGGGCGTGTAACAACCATGAGCCAGGCCTGGCGCCATCGACTCTCTGTTCCTCAGATCTTTCTCTCGTGCTCTCTCTCTCTCTCTCTCCCTATTTCCTGGGGGAGGCGTCGCCGCCGTTCCAGTCGCACAAGCTGTCGTCCGGGGCGGTCCAGCCTCTAAGAAGCAAGACAGTGAACCTTGAGTGAAAGGATGGCGGGAGACGGGACGATGACATGGTGTTGTATCGGGTACGGGATCTGCTGATGGAAGCGGAGGTAGACTGTAGTGGCTGTAGTGCAAGATCAGGTACCTGGAGCTTCGGGGTACATTGACCCCGAACGGCGTGGTCCCTTGAGTGCGAAGTAAACCGAAGCGAACCGTTGCTGTCCGTCAGTGGCATTCCCCAGCTAACCTGAGGTTAAGGTAGGTACCTCAAACTCAAGGAAAGCGGCGACCGATTGCACGTCGGGGAGCGCCGCTGGGCAGATGGGTTGGTGTTCAGCGCTTGTGACAACTACAGCAGTAGCTGCGGCTGCCGTAGTAGCCGATGGAGCTTGGTCGCATGTCATCCGGCTGAGGCATCATCGTCCCGAGTAACCCGTGTTAAGCTCGATTCGTGGTCCTAAGCAATGTACAGTCTCCGGCACTGGAAGCTGAATGGACGTAGGTAGACGTGGACGTGGCGAATTGTCGTTCCTGATCCACGGCGGCATGTCTGGCTGGTACCAGGTGGGATTGTCTCTCAAATCCCCGGGGGGTTGGACTCGAAATGCCGGGAGACATGGTAAGGAACGGGAAGAGAACAGAAGGAAATATGGAGGGCGGGAAGGAGGCGACGGATGATGGAGAGACATATGAATAGAGAGAGGGAGAACGAGACAGACAGAATGGATTGGAATGCCTCACCTGAAGAAGATTTCACCTCGCCAAGTTGATGGACGCAAGGGCTCCCGCTGGACAGTGAACGGCAGTGCAGTGCAACGCAAAGCCAAACAAGGGGTGATGGTAGTTGGACGGGACGCGAAGCGCAGACACTGGCGTTTGTGTTGCTAATGTCGAGACAGGCAGAGAGAGTGCGCGCGAGAGAGAGAGAGAGAGATGGGGGCGGCACGGAAAGGCAGGAAACAATGTCGTCTTTCTTCTCGAAGCTCGGATGGCAGGGCAGAAAGAAAGATGTTTGCTGCCGCTGAAGATTCGGGCCTTGTGGAGGTGTCGAATGGAGTGAATGGTGGTGAGTGGGTGGTGTTTGTGCTTGGCTCGGTGCTTGGTGCTGATGCTGATGCTGATGCTGATGCTGGTCCACCGTGTTAGTAGTTTACTCCGTATGGATACTTCGTACGCAGCAATGGCGGCAAAGTCCTGGGGAAGTGGGTTGAATTGGAAAAACAAAAAAAGAAGCGTTTGACCATCTGGGCAGATGGATCGAGAGCGCAGAGTGGGAGTGTGGGGGGTCTTATGCCACCTCCCACTCCCACTCCCACTCCCCCTTCTCGTCAGTCTTGCCTCTCGATTCTCCAAGCATCCAAGGTAAGGTAAGCTTCCCCCTCTCTCTCTGCTTCCATTCTGTGCAGTGCAGGGCAGGGCAGGGCAGCCAGGCAGGCAAGAGTGTGCGGGTTCTCTCTTCCACCCCCCGTGCCCCCCCCCTTTCCCCCCCCCCTCCACCCTTCCAGACAAACCTGGCCATCATCGGTGAACCCAGGGTGTGGCCAAGGTGTGAGGCCCGCCGGCGATGCGATGCGATGCGATGCGCAGAACGCAGAAAGATGCCCTTGACCAAGCAGCTACTAAGCTGTGCACTTCCACAGGAGCACACATACCGCAGTACCTACACGGTAGGGCCGTAGCATGCTAGAAAAAAAAAAAGGTGTGGTGGGCCACGCCATGGAGGAGGGGTCCTTCATTAGTGCGCCTTCCTGCGCAGTATACTCCGTGACTCCGTACATAGTCACATAGAGTATCCGTAGAGTACATACATCTAAGTAATTATGAACATGTCATGTTGCGGTTGGAATGCTCCTTGACTTTGGGTGACTCCCCTTTTGAGACCCTTCCTTGGCACAGTCTACCGAATCGTCTTTGAGGGTGCACTCGGAGAGGGGGGAGGGGGAAACTGGAAAGATGATGCGGCCGGGCACTACTATCGTATATCCGTACATGCAATAATTGCCATGGCACCTCGCCTCTGGCAGGATAGACGCGCCGAGGGAACGGCCATCTCTGAAAGTGTGCTGCAGGGCAATATCGGAACTTGAACAAGGGCAACAGGCCGTGTAAGCAGAAGGGGGTATCCGCCTGGTCTTCGGTACCGTTCGCGAGAACCCGACAAAATAAAAGTTGACAAGTGACCACCTGTGCATGTGCGTTCCTGCGCCTCGTCATTTACCCTCATGGAAGAAAAGCGTGCGGTATCCGTCCGAGGCAGCCGCACCATGCTCCTCACGTTTCCTCTGTATAGGTACACGGAGAGAGAGGTAGGAAAAGAGCAATGAGCCCAGAAGCCTGGTTGGCCGCAAAATCCCGCTCCAACAGCCGTCGCTATAGTCGTAGCCGAGGAAAATGTAACTGAACATGCTCAAGACTGCCGGCCACCGCTGGGTCTGGTTGCAATCCATGGATGCGTTTCGTCGCGTGGGAAATCGGACACTTCTGACCTGCTTTTTTTCTACCTTGAGGGAGCCGAGATCGATCTGGTTGGCGTGGATAATAAAAAGACTAAGCCGTAAGTATATCGGGTCAGGAACCCCCCAACTCATCACATCGCTCGCCTCATCTTTTTTAGTCGACGGATATCGGTCGGCAAGCCGCCATGTTGAGCCAAGGTGAAGGAAGAATCAGTGACGTTTTGCTCTCACAATAGCTCCACATGGTTCCGAGTAGCGAGGCAACGGAGCGGGTCAGTCAAGCTGAGAGGGTGCTCTCATGACATTTCCAGGTGGTGGTCTCTGTCGTCGTACGACCGTCAACTGGATGAGCACAGCAAACACAGACTGGTCCCTTCGAGCTAGAGGGTCCCCGTCTAAAGACCCCCAAAGATCCCCCGAGTTCTCCTCGCTCGCCTTACGACAAGCATGCCCATGCCGTCCGTGACTGGCGTGGCTAGCTTCTGCAGGGATGGCCGGTGTGAGACTCGAGTCCCCTCAGTAGCTCACTTGAAGAAGACGAGACGTGTGGGGATGGGCGCGGTCTGGAGCTTGGACGGTGGACTTCACCCTTCTGGGGCGCCCTACCCCGGCCTATCGACATTCTTGCGTGGATCGGCCGCCAGTGTCGCCTAAGACTTCTCGAGCTTCTCTTTGGGGGTTATTGCTGCCAGCCTTTGCCAACCAGCATCTGCGTTATTTGACGGTTAGCTACCCACAGACGACACTGTCACAACTCCCACCGAGACCGTTCTCATTAGGGCAATTGTCCACGTAATTTGCTTCATGACCCTTTGCCGCTCTGTGGTACCTCGGCGTCAATGGTGCTAAGAGCTGCAAGATTGCTCCCCTCGAGGGTGGTGTTGTGTTGACAGAAAGTGAGACAATGTGAGAGGAGTACGTAGTACACCCTGAGCGTTGAGCAAGACGCAGAAGAGAGGCAGGGTTTCGCCACAAAACCAGCACAAATTTGCTGCAAATTGCCTGTCAATCACCCGTCACCGTTAATCCCACACGTGGTTATTCTCGTGGCAGGTCGCACCAGACCTACCAAACTGCCCGGCTATCGCGTCTAAGTTGTCGCTATCGAACCGAAGCTGCAGCACTCACTGATTAAGCTCGGAAACGGCCATGTTGTGGTACTCCAAGCTAGCCGCCCATCATACGCGTACGAATTCACCCAAAGGCGGATGCCATGTCGTTGTCGATCTTGTGCCAGTCATCAACCCCACGCTCTGAGGCTGAGATGCGTGAGGCACATCAGGAACAAATACCGCATTCTCGGGTGGGGCGTGGGTGAATCTTCCAAGTCGGCATAGTCTCAATATCGAAGCAGACGGATACGTTCAAAAGAGTATTTCCGGAGTCTCAGCCGGTACTTCGGCCATCCTTGTTGATGCACTCTTCATACCTTGGCTCTTCTCATCTCGTAATGGGTTCCCAATCTGGTATAGACCCTGAAATCGGAAAGGCAGCACACGACCCTTCTTGGTCGGGGCACTGACACTCCAAATCTGCTCGTGGGCAGCTATCCACGCCCGACTTCCATCGATGCCGGCAGTCAAATGAGCTCAAGTCGCATTGCTTCGGTCAACAGATTAGCGGTTACTGGTTGGAAATAGCTGTTCGACTCGGAAACGATGGATCTTCGGACTCGCTACCCTGGTACCCTGCACCGCAATAGTTCTTCGTAGCTGCGCAGGACGCTTTATCTTTTCCCGCTGGTTGTCACGCAACCATACAACTCATTTGAAATGGCGACGACCCAGCTGGATTTCGAATCGCCTCTCTCCAGGCAGGTTATGATGCCACCTGGCATGGATTATCGAATCTCCGGAAGAGAAGGAGGCCGAGGAAATTTGGCGTTCAAGTTGCCAGCTAGATGATGTCGATAATACTCCGTAGCCGTCATCTTTAACTGTACATACTCTGCAGCCTAGGGCCGAGGCGACTCGCGAAAAGTTGTGGTGGAGGTGGGTGCAGGGATATTTAGCTGATCGTCGGTCAGCGCCTGTTGGAGGAAAACCACAGACAGTCGGCTCCACTCACGGTGAACTTCGGCAGGGACATGGGCTCCTTCGCAAGCTGGCCGTGGGCCAGCAAGGGTGAGGGTAACAACTAAATGATCTCCCTGGCAAGCCACAGTTCGGAAGCATATCGAACTGACAGCAAAGTTGATGGCGTTCGTGTTGGTCTTGGAGTTGCGGTTCCTTGGACGATTTGTATGGTCATGCCATCAAGTCTTCTTTTCGGATGAATATCATTGGTAGGTATTTGTGGCGCCTACGGCGGACAAAAGGTCGTGAGGGTTCAGGTCTCTCATCGAAAGCGTGCCACTTGCGCATGTCCTTGCGGATTGGAGCCGTGGCCAGGTTTAACACCTGACCAATCCACACGCTGATGCGCGTTCGACTGAGGATGCCCGATCATGCATCGTTTGGGTAGTCAGCCCCCCTTCTCGCGGCCTTTGGCAGGACCATGGCGTCAGTCAAATGAATAGACGAAATTTCGAGGCCTCAAAGCAGACGATATTCCCTCATGTTTGGCCTGCGTACTCCGTAGTTAGTTTCGATATTAGTTGAGGAATAGAGCAGATAGCACGCCGTGGGGCTCTCAAGTCTGGCGTCGAAAGAAAGTTTGGGGGTCTCTTGGTCCACCTGCGTCTCGACGCGGGATGACCCTCGTGTGTATAGATTCAATTACGTGCGAGATGGCAACCCAAGCTACTGGGCCAGCCACACCTAGTGTTTCGTACAGCGTGGGGGATAGAAACCCAGACACAGTCGTGCCGGGCAAATCTCGCGGGCCGTATGTTGACTCGGGTATCTGTATGGCCGGGAGCCCTGGAGGTCTTGAGATGCCCTGGCTCGATCAGGAGGCCAAGAATGAAGGAGAAGCTCCCTTGGTGCTCGCGGATGTGGCCGATATGCTCGTGCAGCCAAGAGTCGTCCTCCCTCAATGTGGGGAAATTGGGGTTGAGTTGGTGAGAGGGGATTGTCCCGTGCAAGCAGACGTCAATCCTTGGGCGCACAACATCCTTCAATTTTCAAGCTCTGCTGAATAAGTACTGCATTCTGTGATTTTGATTTGCGGCGGACGGGAGCTTTCCCAATCGAGAGCTTGATTTACTGCCCCTGCCTGGATTGGCAAATTGCCAATCGGAGCCCGTGTGTTGTTTACTGGCCGGTGGCACGCATTGCTTCCAGTGTACATATCTTCTAAGTCGCAGCTGCTGATATTGCCTCGAGATTGGATGCATTGGTGAAGGGCATTTGGCTTCCACGAGTCTGAAATAGTAGGATCTGTTGTGTTCAATGAAAGGACTGGACAACGGGAATAGGTAGCCGCCGTCTGGAGTTGGAGAGCGCGGAAAAAGGTGAGGGGCCGATGGAAACTCCACCCTCGAGGGAGGGTCCACCATTGCGCTATCCCAATTAGGCTGGAGCTGAAAATTTGCTCCGGAGCCGACAGGTGCATGTAACTTAGGTAAGCAGGCAGAATGTCGGGGATCACATTTCGAGCAGCGACTTTGTGTATGTACGTACCGATGTCGCACCACATTGACGCCAGCAACGGGGCCCAACTTTTCCAGGCACAACCTCTCGTGCCTCTCCAACTGTTCAGCGCTCGCTGTTCAGAGTTCGCGCCAGACCCCGAATTCCGCCATGCCGCCAATGGCCGCCCCGCAGCTCGCTCCTGGACGCAGGCAGGGCCCTGGGCAACCTGCTAGCAACCAACAGAGGCACCGCCGGCTGTTTGGTGCCATGACGTGAGAAAAAATCCCCTTCTCGCCCACACCACGCATCCACGCACGCTTCCACTCTCTCGCCCCGGCCCTGCCTCTCTTCCCCCCTCACCACACCTCACCAAATTCTTCCCAGTCTCCGTTCTCGAGTACGATGTGATACCTGAGCACGCCTCTCTCCTCCATTTCCTACGACCTGTACCAAACCAGCTACGACGGTCTCGGCAAATCCTTATTTCATCCCTACTACCGTCATGGCACCCAAATCTTCCAAGGTCGCTCACGACGACACAAAGTCCGAGAACACAAACACCAAAGAGAAGCACACGTCTAGTTCTGGTAGTCACTCGAATGGCAAGCTTCGCCGTGTAGCTAGCTCGACGGGCTCTCAATTGCGAGAAGTCACGAATGCCAACGCTTCTGCTGACGCTCCCGCTCCGGCCAAGGAGACTGCCCAAAATCCTGGCGTAAGAATACACCTCACCCCTTCGACCTCGCTATACCCACGCAGGCATCCCAGCCTTGTAAGACTGCCGGCTAACTTTGTCCTTTCCAGATTCAATGGAAAACCTTTGAGCGAGACACACTCCATGCGTACCGTCGCGAACACCACCTCAACACACCTACCTCCTTCTCTTGCTCGTACCGTCAATTGGTCCTTTCGCGACCCGGTGGCATTGGCCTACACTCCCCAACGATGGCCCGGAAGAAGGAGAATAGAAGGCAGAGCAAAGAGCAGCTAGCGATGACGGTACGGAAACACTTCAATGGTGTCGGCATACAAGAAAACGATGTCATCGTCGACTTTATTCACAAAGTCAGGAGCCAGGCCATAACCAAGGGCGACCGCCACAGAAGAGCGAATTCGAAATCGCACGACACTTGAAGACCTTAATGACGGAATGACTACTATTTGGGAATTGAACGCATCGAAAGAAGTTGGTTGACGGGCGTCTTTGTGTGTCACCGGAGCATAGAGCCACGCCCGGCCATTTGGGCGATTTCGGACTGCATAATGATACCTCACCGTGGGCAGGAAACCCCCCATGACGATAGACGACAAAGGCTAGACCCTTTGTCTCAATTTTTTCTTACATAGTTATGATCTATTACAGTAATGGAATATGGAGTTTTGGATCGGAAGAGTCTTCAGAAATCTACATTTAGTCTTGACATTGGCGCCTTAATTCCCCCCGGCTGCTCCTCCGAGTCCCGGCGCACCATAGGCTTTCATGCACGCACAACGCGCATCCCCCAGAAGTAGCCGCGAATTTCCACCTGCGGGCTGTGGGGCCTGTTCGCGAGCCACTTAAAGCCATCCCAAATTGCTGACGTGAAGCTTGAGGTGCAGCAGTTGTCCCCATTTTACCTATCCAAATTACCCCCGGTCCCCCTGCACTCACCCGCGCCTTTCTTGCTGTGGGTGCCTGAGGCAATCACCGACTTTCGGCTTAGCATCGGGCCAAAAAAAAGTTGATATCATCCCGTCTTTCAATGGCATCGAAGGGCAAAGAATTTGCGGGAGAGTTCCACTTGGACGTTGATGCTTTTTCCGCATCCCCGGGCCAATTTAACCCCCTAAAATCTACGACATACTGCTTCAGATGAATCGACAAGCTTCACAATGAATGCAAGCATTCTCACCAAGGCAGTGGCACCGGGCCGTCTGCTGTCCAGCCGTATTTCCAGGCAATCCAAGCTCAAGGATTCGGTCTGCAAACGCGCCCAAATCCACACCGTCACTTGTACCGTTAGACCCACGAAGCCTCTAGCTTCCCGGGTGACATCTCAAGCTCCCTCATCCAAACGTGTAAGTAAATGTCGCTTGCTAAAGTGTCTAGACAGCTTGCTGAGTGTTTACCTTTCAAGGCATTTCATGCGACATCCACCAACCTCGCACCGAGCGACCCCTACAAGACCCTGGGTGTTGACAAATCAGCATCTGCGGGCGACATCAAGAAGGCATACTACGGCCTAGCGAAGAAATACCATCCCGACACCAACAAAGATGCCGGAGCCAAGGAGAAGTTTGGCGAGATCCAGAGCGCATACGAAATCCTGTCCGACCCCAAGAAGAAGCAGCAATTCGACCAGTACGGTGCTGCCGGCTTCGACCCCAGCGGCGGCGGCGGCGACCCGTTCGGAGGCGCTGGAAACCCATTCGGCGGCGGGTTCGGAGGACAGGGCGGCTTCGGCGGCGCCGGCGGCTTCAACTTTGACGACATCTTCTCCGCGTTCACGGGCGGCCAGGGCTTCGGACGCCGCGGCGGCGGCGGAGGAGGCGGACGGAACCCCTTCCAGCAGGAGATCCTGGTGGGCGACAACATTGAGGTGCAGTCGAGCATATCCTTCATGGAGGCGGCCAAGGGAACGAGCAAGACCATCACGGTGACGCCCCTGACGGAGTGCGGGACGTGTACGGGCAGCGGGCTCAAGCAGGGCACCAAGCGGTCGGCGTGCAAGTCGTGCAATGGGACGGGCACGCGGGTGCATTTCATGAACGGCGGGTTCCAGATGGCGTCGACGTGCGGCAGCTGCGGCGGCACGGGCACGACGATCCCCCGGGGGTCGGAGTGCAGGTCGTGCGCGGGCAACGGCGTCGTGAGGGAGCGCAAGACCATCACGGTCGACATCCCCGCGGGCATCGAGGACGGGATGCGTCTGCGCGTCGACGGCGCGGGCGACGCGCCCGTGACGGGCAAGAATGCCGAGGCGGGCATGCGGACGCAAAAGGGCGACCTCTACGTCTTTGTGCGCGTCGCGACGGATCCCAAGTTCCGCAGGGCCGGGTCGGATATCCTGTACACGGCCAGCATCCCCATCACGACGGCGATGCTCGGCGGCGAGGTCACGGTGCCGACGCTCGACGGGCAGGTCAACGTCAAGGTGGCGACGGGCACCAACACGGGCGACAAGCTGACGCTGTCGGGCATGGGCATGAAGAAGCTCAACGGCAGGCGGGGCGGCTCCGGCGACCTCAAGGTGGAGTTCCGGGTTAATATGCCCAAGTATCTGAGCGCGAACCAGCGTACGCTGGTGGAGATGCTGGCGAACGAGATGGGAGACAAGACGGCGCGGAAGATTATGAACGTCACTCCCCAGGGGTGAGTCCTTTTCCCCGCGCGAGAACACGAACGAGCGAGCCAGCCGACACCGGGCTTTCCCTCCTCTTCTTTCCTCTCTACCTCACACTATCCTGACGTTAGGATACCTCGACACCCGTTTTTACTAATTCCCGAAAGCAGAACCCAGCCAGCATCCCCGGATGACTCCGAGACTCACAAGAACGAGGGCTTCCTCAAGTCCATGTGGCACACCCTGACGAACCACCCGGCTCACCAGAAGCCTGGTGAGGACGGTGCGGCACCAACGGAGAAGAAGACGGACGAGAAGAAGGACGAGTCTAAGAAGGATTCTTAAGCTCTCGGTGGCTCAACTTGAGCTGAAGTGTGTCTCTAATGTCCTCCGTCCTTGTACCATATCTCGGGCCTCCTTGCGCGGGCCTTGGCGGGTGTAGACGCGAACTTATAGAAGAGCGGGAAAGTGTTGGAGGATCTTGCATGGCAGGTGTTTAACAAGGTTTTTATTCCTGGGTTTCTGGCTTCTTTGTGCTCCCCGACCTTCAGAAGGGGGAAAGGAGGTTGCCGGCCCATGTTTGTTTGGTTTATGGAGGAAGCCTCATTGCTTTACTCGATTGTATTATTCACATGACTAAGAAAAAAGTGTACACTGTAGTATAGACCATAGGAGAGAGAAGAGATGGGAGGGGGGGAGAGGAGGGGGAGGAAAGAAGGATAAGCCAGCTCCCCGCGGAGGCCACTCACCTCAGATTATTTACAAAGGACCACACCCAATCAATGAAGACAATATTCAACAACTTCTTTCTTAACTACGTTCGCAGGAGTGAACTGCGGCCAGAGAAATGGGGAATCCGAGAAGGTGACCTTCTCGTGACGCGGGGCGCTTAGGGATCTTGACGATGAGACGCATAGAATTCATGTGAGCGCCGTGATGCTCACTTATCATTCAGGGTCTGGCTGGTTGGTTCCGGCCGCAGAAACGGCGTTTTGCCGCGCACCAGGAAACTGAAAGCAACGGGAGAAATGCCACAAAGGAATGGAAAGACGGGGATCCTTGCAAGGAGCGGGCCGTTCGGGCCTGGCACCTGGTCCTGGCTCGGGTCCCTGAAAGTGGGACCACGAAGCGCCGGCCGCCGGCGACCAATGGGAGGCCCGGGTAGAGGGGTAGCTAGAGGTCCGGATATTGGGTGGCCCGTCACCTGCATGAAGGTCGGGGCCAATGTGGTTGCGGAAGCGTGGGTTGTCGAAGTTTGGGTGAAGCGTGTTTGTGAGTGTTAGTGGGATTGCGGATGGACTCTTCTGATATTGAAGGGGCATCGCGTCGTTGATGGTTAAGCTGCTTTCTCTACTGTCGAGTATCTGTAGCGCATTTACAGGTTCCTGCTCGGTTGAGATGAAGAAGTGTGGGTGAATTTGTTCCGCCCACGTGTAATGGTCAAGTCATCTCTGTCGGTAAAGAAGAGAATTGCTGACATGCAGCAGAGTCGGAACGTACATGTAAGCAGCGATGGGACCGTGATGAGCAGAAGGTGCGGTCTGGCCAAGGTGGAACTGAACGGAACCGCATGGATATCACGAGACAGCCATGCCAAAGCTAGCTGGGTCGAGCTGCTCGGAGCAGACTATCGGGGGTGGAGTGAGGCCGCATGCGAGAGACGGAGGAGAGTTGCGTTGGGCAACGTCTCACTGTGATCCCGCCAGAGATGAGGGATAGGCCATTTGGGCATGTCGACGCGATAGGCGAGGTAACCTGATCAACGGCGAGGTGATTGGGACCCGGACCACAAGTAGATTTGAGGTCTCATCGTGTTGATGTTACTTTGTGATATTGGCACCAGAGGGTCGGGATAGGCGCGTTTAGCTAGATGTAGATAGATGCCCGATCGAGAGTCGGTTGAGGGCGCCTGGCTACGGCTGAATTGTCTGGTGGACTGACGGATCATTGGGAGCTGCCACTATTCGCCCTGCGTAGGTGCCGTCACTTGGATTGAAGCAATGGAAGTGTGAGAAGCTGCCTACAGAAAAGTCACGAAAGAGGAACCTGGAATCTTCACAGTTCACTTGTGAGTCAAGTGCGACGGACAGGTTCGTACCCTCGTCTAGGCCCCCGCCAAAAGCCAGGAACATCCCCGGCTCGCGGTGGACAATTCTCACTGCCTGGCGGCTACGTAAGACAGCCCAACGCATCTTCTCCCAGTATTCGTGAGGTACACGTTACGCGCCAACGTCAACACCACTCACACGAGGCTAAGCCGAGCAGTGCAACAAGACTACGGCGACGAATAAAGACGGCGCAGACTTTTGCTTGTCTCCAATCTCCGAGGCCTGGGCGCTTCGTCAACCAAGCATATATCACCAACAGTCCGGAACCGCCACCGCCAGAGGCGCAACCTGGGGTGATTAGGTGTTTGAAGACGAAAACGAGACGCCTGACGACGCCGAGCCATCTCGGGCAAGACGAAAGCTGCCCCGCCCTTCCCAAGAAGCTCCTCTTTAGGCCCTCTGTCTAAATTACCGACAGTCCCTCATCTCGCCAGGTCCCCCAGCATTATGACCTCACAGGAACACGAGTCTGGTACATTCCTTCGCAAGCAATAGCCAGGGAGGCGAAAAGAAAGAAACAAAGAAAGAGGAAAACAACGATATTGTTGCCGCCTTTGCAAGACAATTTGTTGCCAGCCTTCGTACTACCACACCAACACCCTCCAGTCAATCTGCACCTCATCTTGAACAGGCACCAAAACTTAAGGCCGGCCGCAGAACAGCAACCCACCCGACCACAGCCAGCGCCATCAGCGCCGCCGAGAGCAACTACCCGACCACGGCGGGCGTCCTTCTCCATCAACCAGCAGCCAGCGGCACCACAAACCGGGTCTGCCTCTCTGCCCATCAGCAACCGAGCACACGTAAGGTATATGCACTACCTACTCTTGTCGGGTACCTGACCTGGCCTGACTTACTACCTATTAGGTTGACAGAGGGTCGGAAGTACGTACTCACGATTGAGCTTGGGTGCACTGACTCTCAACTGCCCCCGACCAAGCTGCTACCATTCTGGGCTCCTTCAATCGTCGCTGCCCGCCCCCACCCCGCACTCCGCCCGCCACGGCAAGACAGACAGCAACCAGCAACCTGCCCAGCGACCTGACCGGAGAGCTGCATCCGTCCACCTCCAGCCCGTCGCTTTTTCTTCCCAAGGCCACCTCTAAAGAGGCCCCGTATGCCACCCAATCATCAAGACATTTGAACGAGGCTACCCATCACAGCAAACCACCCCTCCGACTGCGATTCACTGTCCCCTGCGACATCCCCGCGATTCCTCCGGGCCGAAACCTCGTCTCCGGAGCTGGCCTCGTCGCCCTCTTTCAAAATGACGCAGTCGCCCATGATCTCCTCGCCTCTCAAGGCCACAAACGAAATCGACTGGGTCACTCCGCTGAAGGACTACATCAGAGATACATACGGCGATGATCCTGAACGCTATGCCGAGGAGTGCGCCACCCTCAATCGTCTGCGACAGGACGTGAGGGGCGCCGGCAAGGACAGCACCTCGGGTCGCGATATGCTCTACAGATACTACGGCCAGCTCGAGCTTCTCGACTTGCGCTTTCCTGTCGATGAGCAACACATCAAGATCTCCTTCACCTGGTATCTCTTCCGCTGCCCCTGCTGCGTCTCGCGGCCCAACGCGCCGTTAGATCATTCTAACCCCTAGTGTTTTGCAGGTTTGACGCCTTTACACATAAATCGACGGCCCAATATTCGCTCGCCTTCGAAAAGGCTTCCATAATATTCAACATCTCCGCCGTCCTATCGTGTCACGCCGCCCATCAAACAAGATCCGAGGAGTCGGGCCTCAAGGCCGCGTACCACTCTTTTCAAGCCTCCGCCGGCATGTTCACTTACATCAACGAGAACTTTCTCCACGCACCTTCGTCCGACCTTAGCCGCGAAACCGTCAAAACTCTCATTTCAATCATGTTGGCACAGGCTCAAGAGGTTTTCCTAGAGAAGCAAGTGGCGGATCAGAAGAAGGTGGCCTTGCTAGCCAAGCTCTCCAGCCAGGCAGCGTACTTGTACGGGCAAGCTGTTGAGGGTGTCCAAGACAACTTCAATAGGGCCATATTTGAGAAAGTCTGGCTTCTCATGGTTCAGGTAAGGATTGCGAGCACAGTGTCTCGGGACTCCCATCAGGGGTGGTTTACAACCATGTGCTGTGGCTCTGCTAACAGACTTAGGTCAAATTCAACCTCCTGAGCTCCATGTCGCAGTACTATCAGGCCCTCGCCGATGACGAAGCTGGTCAGCATGGAACTGCTGTCGCGAGACTTCAAGCTGCAGAAACCCAGGGCAAGGAGGCAAGCCGCATCGCTGCCAATTTCCCAAGCTCAGTACCCCCGAGCTCGAACCTCAGCGCCGAGACTGGTGGGCTTTTGGTCGAGTTTAGTAAACGGCACTTGTCGACTGTTCAGGACAAACTCAAAGAGTTCAGCAAGGATAACGATTTCATCTACCATCAAACCGTACCCGCGGAGGCCAGCCTTCCACCCGTCCCGAAGCTTCCTGCATCAAAACCAATCCCTGTCAGCGAGCTCTACGCCGGCCAAGATATCCAGCGCATTACTGGACCCGACCTTTTCTCCAAGATTGTGCCCCTGGCTGTGACGGAATCGGCCAGTCTTTACGATGAGGAGAAGGCCAAGTTGATCAGAGCTGAGACGGAACGAGTGGACACGGCGAACAGCGAAATGGCAGCAAGTCTGGACTACTTGAGACTTCCCGGCGCTCTGCAGGTTCTCAAAGGTGGTGTCGATCAAGAAATCATGCCAGATGAGGAGTTCAGGACTTGGTGTGAGGATGTTGCGGGGCATGAAGATCCCGCTGCCATTTTCGATATCTTGAGATCCGACAAGGACATCATTGTGAACACACTGGATAAGAACACGAAACAACTGGATATGGAAGAAAGTGTGTGCGAGAAGATGCGATCCAAATACGAGAACGAATGGACCCAGCAACCGAGTTCGAGATTAACATCAACTCTGCGAAGCGATATCAGGAACTACCGAGAAGCGTTGGAAGAGGCAGCGAGAAGCGACAATCAACTGGCGGCAAAATTACGGCAAAATGAAGTCGAATTCGAGGAGATGAGGGCGGCAGCCTCCCACGGAAGTATCGAGTCCCTGTTTCAACATGCCGTCAGCAAGGTGCGCGGAAAATCGAGCAATGTTACGAGTCCTTTGGGCAACGAGCCAAACCTGCTGGATGTCGACTTTGACGAAGGGGGCCCGAGTGTCGTTGACCAAATCCACAAAGTGGAAGAGATCATGAAGAAGTTGA